CGAAGTTATACGAGTGTACTGTAGGTGCGTCCGTGGTGCGTCAGTCGGGACATCCGTGGGTGCGTCGTGGGTCGCATCGGTGGGAGTGTCGGTCGGGGCATCGGTGGGAGCGTCGTCGGGGCATCGGTGGGAGCGTCGTGGGAGCGTCGGTGGGAGCGTCGGTAGGCGCGTCCGTGGGTGCGTCAGTCGGGGCATCCGTGGGCGCGTCGGTAGGAGCATCAGTCGGAGCATTGGTGGGAGCATCGGTAGGCGCGCCCGTGGGAGCGCCTGTGGGAGCATTTGTCGGTACGTCATCATCGGAGAAATTCGAATCGTCGTCGTCGTCGTCGTCGTGAGCATGCCCGTTGCCAGCATTTTTGGTTTTGAGTTTGTTTTCGCGGAGCAACTTGAACACCGCGGTCTTGATCGAAGCTGTCTTGTCTTTTGTCGGCTGGGTGAATGGCACTTGGTTGGTCTCGACGCTGTTGCCAGTCGTGGCTTGCTCCTGCGAGTTGTTGTTTTCCTTGTCGATGACTTGCCCATGATGGGCATGGTGGCGGTGGCCGCGGCTATCACTATTACGGAGGTGGCGCTTCTCCCAGTGCTCGATTTCGGCGACGCTGTAGTGCTCCAGACGAGCCACGTTGTTTGAATCTAGTTGGTAGATGTAAGTCACAATGATCGTATCCAGGCGCTTTAGCGTACGCTGGGCGGCACCGAGCGACTCGTGCAAGACGACGCACAAGGCAGCGAGGGTCAACGGGTGGTAAATGCGCATGGTCAAGCAAATGGATTTTGAATTGTGAGAGGCTTGAGGAGCGCTGGTGCGGGACGTTTCAAACCCAGGAAGTGCTTGCGAGGACCTATTTTGGGGGGTACATGGGCCAATCATAGGTACATAATGCAGAAAGCCGCCATTAAAGATAGGCATCTTGCATGTCAGCATAAACGGCACAGGACGAAAGCCATTTCGATGCGAGAGGCGCCGCCACGAATAGACACCAATCCGGCGACTAGCATCTAAATCGAGCGCAGAACGGCAGAGGTCGTCGACAAGTGGATCCTGGAAACTCAACGAAGTCAGCGATCACAATGTGCGTCGAGGCTTCTCTTGAGACAGGCGTCCGCGCCAAACCCGAGACCTTTTCACGCTGCTCCATTCAAACATTATTGTTGGATCGCCATCGAATCGTAAAAGATCGCCACAATGCTCCATCTTTATCCGGATCCGGATTGATGTCACAGAGTCTTGTAAGACTCCGACAGCTTTCGGCTCTAGGACGTTGTCGTTGCCTTGGAGGGTGACTCGCAGCTCGTCTCCCCTATCTCGGGGCAGTCTTCTTGTCGCCTCTTGTCCCGGTCCGCTCTGTGGCATACACTAGGGAGAAGGGCCTGCCACATGAGCCACCCTTCGATGGCCGTCGGGCGTGCTAGCTTACGAGCATAAGTCCACCAATATATGAGCACCCTCGCTGGTTTCATGTTCCTTTCGCCCAATCCACGGCTTGTGGCTTTTTGCGCCGACGGCCTCCGAACGCGACCATAATGGCCGACTCTCCAGCCCATCGGACTAATTTATGTGTGCTGGTATCTGTAGTGAAAGCAGCGTCGTTATCAATCGCCACTGCCCTTTATAGAAGATTCCTTGCCAATCTACATACAACGCACTTGCACGTGGTTCCGCACACAGCCTCTTCTCTTTTCATAAACACCATGCAGACTGCGTGCGGACACGGTGAGTTCTGCAAAATCGATCGTCGGACTTGTCGTTGCTTGATGCACACGGTGGCTACCTGCCGTAGGACCACTTTGCTTCGGGAGCGTCTTCCGGAAACAAGATTGTGTCTCCTCGTCGAGGGCGGAGCGCGGCCGACATTGTCGCATCGGCGGCTTGCATTCGCTTTCTCGCCTCGTTGTAGACGTCCGCGATGCTGCACGGTCGCTGGTCTGCTGCCGGTAGTACATCATGGCGTGTAGCTACAACACAACGATCAAGGGGGCCCAAAACCGAAGCGACGAGCGTACAATCAATCGCATGCGGGTCGTGAGCCAGCGTCACGAGACATATGGCGCAGAGGAGGCCGAGCGGTGGCACGAGCATGTTTCTGGCAGTGCCGCTTTGCGACTTTTTGTTTTGAGCAGAAATAGCCCCTCACTAAAGTGGGCTACCGGTATTTCTGTTTGATGCCACACCGGATCTAGAATGGAGGAGTAGTGCTGCCGTGGCAGAACCAACGCCGCCGCACATATGCAGACACACGTGATGACTTATTACTTTTCAAAGCTGCCGTCAAAGCCCACAAAGCCGGCCATGAGGAAGATGTGGTAAAAGGGCTTCTTCTCAATCTTGGAGCACCAGTTCCACGCACTCGTGAGGCGGCCGTCAATGCACGAGCCCGCATCAAAGAAGTTGTCGGCGCCGCTGCCGTCAAAGCCGTGCTTGAAAAAGTCGCAGAGGATCGTCTGCCGGAGCGCCTCGGCGCCGCCCATGCTCGCAATGTACACGGCCGTGTTGGCATCGTGCTCCATGCGGCCAATGTACTCGACAGTTTGGACGATCGGGCTCAGAATGCGCGACACTTGAGTGTGCGTACTACAAGGTGAAGTAAGTCGTCATTACCATTGTGTGTTTCGCACATGCGTGAGGAGCGGACCGCGACTAATCGAATGTCGGGACGATCTGGGCGTCCGTGGGAGCATCGGTCGGGGCATCGGTACCGGTAGGCGCGTTGGTAGGTGCTTCGGTGGGAGCGTCGGTAGGAGCGTCGGTGGGTGCGTTAGTCGGGGCATCCGTGGGAGCATCGGTAGGCGCGTTCGTGG